AATTGGGGAGCACTCACGATGGAATTAATAGTGGATGGGAGAAAGGTGGTTATAAGGGGAGATGCAGGGCTATCCAAAGCCATGACATCACTTAAGACCATGGTTAGGGACATACAAGAGGTGGGGGAAGATTATGTGGTGGGACTACACAGGTTGGATGCGATCAGATTGGAGGAGGGAGGGGATGTTTCTCTTTTTATGCAGCCCCTTGGTTCAGCAATACAAAAAGGTTATTCAGTCAGCTCAAGGATGGCCACCTCCACAGGAACACGAGTATATTTCCACCTTGAGGACAAGGTGGATCTTTAAGAGGGGAGTATTGTTAGACCGGTCCACTGGACCAGTCCAGCCGGTCCGCACGGGACCGGTAGTTCGCGTAATACGCAAAATCGCGGAGATCGGGCGGGCTGTCCGCTCAAGAAGAGCATTTTAGGAAGCAATTTTGACAGTTTTGAGAGGGAAATTTGAATGTAGGGACTGTTTAGGGATTTCCTTTTGATTTGTATGCATTAAATAATAGATTTTCCTAGGGTTTGATGATCTGGAATTTGGCTGAAATTTGAGATCTCTTAGATTTAGGTTTTCTTTGGGCTCTAGCGGCGTCTAGAGATTTGGGAGAGATCGATCCTCCTCTCGAATTGAGGATCAATTGTATCTTTGCTGTTTTATTCATCTACTAGTGAAATACAAAGGTTTTGTTTGATTTTTTGTCAGATTTCTCGTGTAAAACTCCTGTTTTTCTCTGTTTGGGGGCTGTTTCCCTGCTGTGGACAGCAATATCATCGCTGCAGTTTACTGATTTTGGCTAGGAACACTTGTGAATCCAAGTGTTTCCTATCAATTTGCTTTCAATCTTTTTTATTTCTTATAGTAGATTTATGATTTGTAGGTTTGAAAAGGTTGGCAAGGTTGATCATATGGTTAATGGTTCCTAAATCTAGGATCAGATTTGAGGGGAATTATTTAAGGCATTAAAAACAAAAGAGTTAGAGGTCATATCATTTTAAGTTAGAAAGTATGATCTGAGTGGTTTTTCCAAAGAGTTGATGAATTCTTTTAGTTTGTTAATTTCCTCGGGGTTGAGCCCTTCTAATTCCACAAGACAAGCTTGCCTTTTTTAGTGACCTTTATTTACACCATAACTTGGAGGTTTTTAATATAGTTTCCAATAATTTTCTTTATTGTATTATTTCTTCTTGCAATAGTTGCAATAGATTGTCTTTGAAAGATGACTTTTATCTTTCTTTAGGGGAAGAGTCTATAGTAAGTCCCTTACCTTGGAGTCTGATAGATGTCATGACATATGTTTTGGAGATTAGGGTATTTAGCTTACCGTCCTTCTTACTTCTTTGACTTGTATGAGAGAGAACATCTCATTTAGTGATGGTAGTCTTTCTTTGTTTAAAATTTGAATACGAATTTGGTCAAAGTCATTATTGACCCCTTGTTGTACAATCTTTTTTTAGAATTACTGCATCATCTCAACATGCCATTTTGAGATCTTGATAATAGTCCAGTCAAGCCAATAACTTTTCATCGCATTAAAGTACCTTGCTTGGTTGTCGAGATCTTAGTTTAGATCTCATAGATGAGGGCATCGCCCTCACTTTTGAGTAAGTTTGTTTGACAACATCCTAAACTTCTTTTATGGTAGACAAGAACATAAATGACCCACTAATTTTAGGCATTATATTATTTTACAATTCCGTCATGACCATGGAATCAACTGTCCCATAGTACAAACTTAGGGTTTTTCAGCTTTGAAGGAGAATTCACAAGGCTATGGATATTGCCCTTTCCTTTTAGAAAAGTCTTCGCAATTTGAGATCACTCATGGTACTTTATTTCATTCATGCGATGTAAGACTTGTATCCACTTGAGTTTTCTCCATTAGTTTGATTTTCTCCATTCATGATAGTTGACTCATGAGGGAAGTCAAAGAAATTAAACATAATGAAAAGAGGAAGAATCACAACAAGAAAGAAAGAAAGAAAAAAAAAAAGTTTAAAAGTTTGAAGAATGAGTCCCGAACCTAGCTTTGATATCATGTAGAAAAAATACAACAACAATAATAATATCAAGCCTTTATCCCACTACGTGGGGTTGGCTATATGAATCATTTGTCTCCATTATGTCTGTTAAGAATCAAATTATCATTTAAATCTAATAAAAAAGGTCATTTATAATATTTTCTAACCAAATCTTTTTATGTCTACCTCTACCTTTTTAACATAGGTCTAATCTAATATATCTACTCTTTATCGGATCATCACAAGGCCGATGTTTTATGTGATCAAACCATCTAAGTCGACTCTCTCTAATCTTTTCTTCCACTAGAGCTACTCTATCCTGTTCACGTATATGCTTATTTCTCATTGTCTCTAAGAGTGAAGCCACTCATACATTTAGAGCATATGATAGGAAATACTTGAGTTCGCAAAGGGAAATACTTGAGTTCACAAGCAAACCTAATAGTAATTGGTGAGGAACAGCGAGAAAACTACTTATTACAGAGATAAATCAGCATTACGATGCATAATTTTCAGGAAATTGGAGAGAAAAATACAAGCATACTTCATCTATTCAATCCACGAACAAGAAAAATAATAAACAATACAAATTTCTTTAATTCGAGAGGAATAAATAGCTCTCCAAATCTCTAACCAAGCCTAAAGCCCAAAGGAACAAACCGTAGATCTTAAATTTGATTTCAAACTCAAGATGAAACCCCAATTCTAGCATTAGCAACTAATTAAAGCCAAAGGAGAAATACGAAATTCCTAAACAACCCCTCATTCAAATATTTCCCTCCAAAGCAATTATTAATCAAGGTGTGGGCCCCATAGGAGCAGCTTGCCCATTCCCTCGCCCTTCCTTGGGCCGGCGGTTGTCGAATAAAACCGGTCCACTAAGGACCGGTTCAATTGGGACATCCAGCCCCTCTTGGTCGGCCTAACAGCATACTCATTTTTGCAACACTAAATTTTATGCTTTTCTTTTAATGGACAACATTTTATGCCATAAAGCATTGCAAGTTACACCACCGTCTTATAGAATCTTCTCTTAAGTTTGTAGGGTACTTTTCTGTCACACGTTTCGGATGCATTCCTCCACTTCAACCATCCAACTTGAATTCTACTAATAATATCCCCATCTATTTCATCGTCACTTTGAACAATATACCCGATATATCTAGAACATGTACTTTTATTAATGATTTGTTTGCCTAAAATGACAATCCCCCACTAGGTCTATAACTACTAAAAGTATGCTCCATATATTTAGTTTTAGATCTACTCAAACAAAAACTTCTAAACTCTTAAGGTTGACCTCCATAAACTCCCTCTCTAGTCTTATCAATAAAATTATACTTCATCTATCATTTTCTTAGTTTTCAAAATAATATTGAAAAGTTTCGTAAGTCAAGAAATTCCTTCATCCCTTGAGTATTTCCACGCATGTGTTAGAATATTATCAAGTCAAATAGTTTTTATGCACTTCATTTTCTTTAAAGCCTCTCTAACTTCAATTTTACTAATACAACGATAAAAATAAAAATCTCTATTTTCATTTAGGAGATTAAGGTCTCTAAAGTCTAGCATATTCTCACAATTCTTATTGAAAAGCTTATTAAAATATTTCATCCACCTTTGTTGAATACTCTATTCTAAGAAAAACTCTTTGATTTTCATTCTTAATGCACTTCCTTGAACTAAATCCTTTTACTATCTCTTTTCTTAGTTAACTTATAACTTTCGCTCTCCTTTATATCCAATCTATTATATAAATCATTAAAATCTAAATTCTTTGTATCGCATATTACTTTCTTGAACTTTTTATGGGCTTCTTTATATATTTCCTAATTTTATGAGCTTTTACATCTAAATCATTTTTTTTATAACAAAGTTTTTATTTTTTTATTTTTTCTTGTATATTTTGATTCCACTAATAACTATTTTTACAATTAGGAACTTTTCCTTTTGACACTCTATTCACATCCTTTGCAACATTCATAATATCATTAGCTACTTTTTTTCACATAGCATTAGCTTCCTTATGCACAGTCAAAATCTTACACTTAAAAAATTACTTTGAATTTTATTGCTTGAGTCTATATAAAGTGTGTAAGCATATATAGATTTTTTTCAAAAAGTCTTATAATGAAATGAAATTAAAGAAAATTAAAAAAAAATATATCTAAGAAATGCCAACAGACAATCTAAAGGTTATAAGAGGATCGATTCAATGGTATAATAGATATAACGAAATGTATTTTAAAATAATCAATGGAACATTAAACCTCTGCTTTTGGCTGATCTACAGAAGGTAGCTTTGCTGGTAACTGAAGCATACAAGGATGCACATCAGAAAAGCATTCAGGCAAGAACTGATTCTTAGACATGATATTAATTTATTTAACAAACTTCTGAACATAAATTGAGAAAGAATTCCTATTTCTTTGTTGCAGGCTGTGAAAGAGAGAATGGGAAATCTTGCCCAGAGTCTCGGAATGCCACCAGGCCTTGGTGATGTATTCAAACAATAAGGATTCTATGCAAGCTCAATTTTGTACAGTAGCTGATACAGCTCTGTTCATTGCCACTCTTGTAATTTCTTTCTTCCTTCCTTTTAGAAACATCAAAACTCTTAATTATAAATTCAATAATTTTTATTCAGCCCAACTTTACTCGATTGATATATCTATCTTAATTGATTTATAGCAATATGGATATTATTTTTTTATGGTCAATATGCATTGACCTGCTTCATATGTGCATAGAATCTTTTGTGCTATTAATTTGCTCATATTTTGATGTTATTTTAATATTTATTTCTTTATAATAATAAGTTTTTATTTTTATGGTTCAATATATCAATTTAATGAATTTAAAAATAAATCATGTCTTGTATAAATCGATTTTTTTTAATATAATTAAATTTTCCGCTTCCAAAATGTCCCTTTACTTTGAATTAATGTTCAATATCAATTAAGTTGAGTCCTCTCTTAATTTAATAATATATAATATAACAAACTATAATTTAAATAAAGCATATGTATGAGTCATTTGAGCCTTGATTTAGGCTTCGTTTAGGATGGATTTATACAAAAATTTTAATTTTTTATTAAAAAGTTTTTTAAAACATAATAAAAAAGCCGTCTCAAATGAAGCCTTGCTCGAGCTCTTTGATCATATATGGAAAGCTCATCAAGTTTTGAGAGTATCCAACCCCACTATTTGGACTAGTTGATATGTTGTTTACTTTTTCTATTTTACAACAGATTTGTAGCAACATTCCAACTTACCATACAATCAGCTTAGCTTTTGATTTGTATCACTATAACCAAATCATAGGCCCACCAAAGACTCCCTTCACATGCCATCATGAGAGCATGTCACCAACACTAATCATGAATATGCCGACCAAAATAAGCCACATCAATGTCCATAATAATATGGCCTGCCACCTCTCTGTCTCTCTCTCTCACACACACAGATTATACATATAATTTCAAATAAATTAAACATAGCCAACACAGCTAGAAATTCAAGTTTTCCCTTTGTTGGAAAGTGAAGTTATCCCTTTAAAAAAGGCCCAAAAGCAGACACACCAACATGCTATTCAATTGAGTGGAATGAAAGCTTATATGATCATCATAGCTCTTCTTCGATCATTTCAAAAGTGTTATAAGAATGGGTCCAACGCTTCATAGATTCATTCATTCCACCCTGAAAACATATAATATTAACTAACCCTCCAATCATGCGTAGCCTGCCAATGATCTCTCTCAAACATCTACTTTTCACTGTATAAAAAGCCAAGGAGATGGCCATCTGATTGGTTCAGTAATTGAAGATTTTGCACTTGTGATTTTAGAGTCAATTGCTATTGATTTTCTCAGCTCAACATTATCTACCATATCCCCCAAAGAGATATAAATATATATATATATATAAGCCACTGTGTCAAAACAGTCACTACTAACTAGCTCAAATACCAGATTAGAAAAATCAAAAGAATGCCTCCACCATAGAAACTACAAGAAGCCAACTGGAAAGCATTTAAGCAATAATTGAACTTTCAAAATAAAACAGGAAACCTCATGTGATTACCAATAAGCCATACACTATTCTAAATTTTTAAAAAATAATTTTTTAAAGTTCACAACTCTCATTGGTAGAATTTTTTCCATGAGATTTTATTGCATATCACTTGTTTTGTTAGTCGTCCTTAGTAGAATTATAATCCAAAACCTCTTAGTTGATAGTCTAAGTTTCCTACCAACAGATCTATGCGACGGAGACATCGGCGGAGAGTAAAAATTTGGAGCTTTAGACGACCTAGGTGGAATTGAACAATTTGCAACAGTGTAAATGAAGAACTAAAAAAAACCTCACATGCCCTCTTGCAAATGCTTAAGAAAATAACCAAGTAAGATGGAATCAAAACATTACGCTGAATCTTGCTTAGTTCTCCTCATTGATCTGCTAATAGGAGAATTTGAAGTCTCCAATGGAACTGCTGGAATTTCCATCTCGCCTTTCAGAATCTTCACAATCTCCCCACTATCAGGTCTCAACTCCGGTGTTCTCTGCAAGCACAGAAGTGCCAAGTTTATACAAAGATGAACCTGATCCTTGTCACAAGAATCTTTCAACTTTTCATCCAAAATTTCCATTACATCTCCCACAAGTGCTAATTGCCTGCACCAGCTTATAAGATTAGCTCTATCAAGCTTCATAGGTGATTCCTGAACATGTAAAGGTCTCCTTCCAGATACAATAACAAGAACAAGAACTCCAAAGCTGTATATATCAGCTTTCTCATAAATATGGCTAAATCCTCCATATTCCGGAGCAACATAACAAATAGTTCCTCTCATACTTGTAGTGCTACTAAGCTCTTTGCTATAAAGATCACTGTTCAAAATCTCACTACCAACTGATTGATTCTTCCTCTTCTTCCAACCCTTCCTGAAGCTTATATCCATTTCTCCCAATTTGTTGTTTCTGAACCACTTCAACCCCTTACAGTTTTTACCTCTCTTACTAATCTCAGCAAAGTACTCTTCTTTCCACCATTCTCTCATCTTCCTCTCCTTATCACATCGAGCTTCGACATTAGTCTTCAGCTTCTTGTTCTGAGTCTGAGCATCAATGTCTGTAAAAACAGTTTCATCCAAGCTTTTTTGTTCAAATATCTCCATTTGACTAGAGCTTCTTAACTCGGGTGAGCTCTTTCTATCATCATCCCAATCAGGGTTCTTCGAAGGACAAATCTGGTTCCCAATCCACTCTCTGACATAATCTCTACTACTAAGCTCCTCACTCTCATCCTGCTTCCACCACCAATCAATCCTCCCATCATTCAATGGAGAACTCCCTCCCAATTCACTGAATTTATCCACAAAACCAACCTCAACATCACAACCAGGATTTGATACTAAATCCTTCCCCTTTAAACTCGCCTTCTTCTCATGATTCGGTGAATGAAAGGGGAGGGAAAGATCAACCTGTGGGCTCAAGCATAGTTCATGGCTAAAGATATCAGTTTTCCGCCTGGAAAGCCCAAAATCAGCCAGCTTCGCCTGGAAATCGGAGCCTAGAAGAACATTGGCTGGCTTCACATCGCCATGGATAACAGGAGGATCGCATTGGAGATGGAGAAAGGCCAGAGCTTTAGCGATATCGAGGATGATTCGAAACCGGCGTTCCCAATCAATTAAGGGGTGAGAAGAACCGAAAAGAGCTTCTTGGAGACTTCCATTACTCATGTACTCGTAGACAAGAAGGTAATGGGGTCGGCGGTTGCAGTATCCGAGGAGGGAGACGATGAAGGGTGAGTGAGGCAAATCGGCCAGCACTTTTAGTTCGTTCTGGAAGTCGCGGTCAGGGAAGGATGGGTTGAGGCGTTTGATGGCGACGGACTTTCCGTCGGGGAGAATGCCGCGGAAAACAGCGGCCGAGGCACCGCGGCCGAGGGATCGGGAAGGGTCGAAATGGAGTGTGGCGGAGCGGAGGGAACGGAAGGAGAAGCGGCGGAGGGTGGGTGAAGAAGAAGGAGAAGATGATAAGGGGAGAGTTGGGGAGCGGCGGCGGTGGGATAAGTGGAAGTAAAGGAAAAAGAGGAGGAGGAGGAGGACAGCCGAAGTGAAGGCGGCGGCGGCGGCGGCGGGAAGCAGGAGGGGAAGAGTGTGGTGGCGGTGTTGGGAGGCCGCTGTGGCTAAGGGTGGCGGTGGTAGAGGCATTGAAGCCATTGGGGAATAAGATTGGGCTGCGATTGGGCGACAGCAGATAGAGGGGGTAGTGTTTTTTTGGTGTGGGTGAACGGGGCTGTGTATGATGCTCTTGAAAATTAAAATTTCTTCTTAAGTTTAATTTGCTAACAAAAATGAGTAAAATAAATATAGTACATTTAAAATATTTAAATTATTTGAATAAGTGTAAAAGAAATATAGCTGATTATTTTTTTATTTAATTTGAAATAAATTAAATTCAATATGTGGTAGCTGGTGATGATTCGAATCGATCAGCACTTGGCTTGTAGGAGGTGATGGTTGATTGCTTGTAACAACGGTGATGCCATTAGTAGCGAAATTATTACCATGAAGGATAATAAGATATATAACTTATAAAGTACATATCACAAGCCATTCTTTAAAGAATGTTTGCTATAAATGATCTCTTTCTCCAATTCTTTCTCCAATTCTTTTTGCTTCAAATATCTCTTAATGTTTTGATAAAAGAAACTGAGATTTTGCCAAGCATTATTGAACACACTATGATCCTCAACATATCAAGGCAAAATGAAATATCTTCCTAAGATTTATTCATAATTTCTTTCTTATGCTCAGCCAAGCTTATGCACTCACAACTAGAAGATGAGGCAACTTATAATGACCTCAACTTAATTGAGCTCTTTTAACCCAAAGTTTCAAGTCTAAAGAGGAATATAGTGGATGGTTGTGCTCTTTCTTTGATAACTCTAACCTAGCTAAAGATGATTTCGGTGCATTTACTTTACTTTGTAACTTGAAAAACTTTCACTTAACCACCACCTTCAATTCTGTTGCTAGCTTCTTGACCTTCTCTTTGAAACTTAGCAAATTAGCATTGACTTTTCTAGCAAATTTATAAGATTATTTTTTTATTCAAATATATCACCATTATAAGATTATTTTTTAAATTATATTAATTCAAAATTTGAATTAATTATACAATATGATGTATATATCTTGTACAATTACCTTTCTAAATTAATCTATCTAAGCCAAAACAATAAATGGGCAATAATTACAAATCTAGCAAAGCAATCATACAATATGATTGACATCATATTGGATGATCTAACAAAGTTTGATTTTCACACCTACTAAACTTTCATCATGTAACTTTTTCTATGTTGTAGATATGGCTATTCTACATATTTAGACATTTTTTTAGAAAATTTCGAACAAACAAAGTAAAAAGTGTACTATTTCAATTAAAAATTAATTTTGATCATAGAAAATAATATTATTGTATAATTAAAACTTCAAAATATTATTCTAACTAATACTTAATAATCTAGTGAAATTCTAAGATTTAAAATTTTGCTTAATATATAGTTGAATATGTTATATACTAATTAAGCATTGTGTAAATTTCTAAAATTTGTTTATTTATATTTATTTCACTACAACAAAATGATATATGTACATATATGCTTGAAACATATGATTCTATGGAGCTCAAATTTTGGAGGAAGTTCTATTATGCAGGATGCATAGGGGGTCATAATAGTATGAATTTTGATATATATTTCTGATGGGAGGTATAATGACCTGGGATAAATCTTTTACTTTTGGATTACTTATTTATTTACTTTTCTTATATTATTATTTAAATTTTTTCTACTTACAAATATTATTCTGCCTAATAATGTGAAGTGTTATTAAATGCTTTTAAGAGAATCAATTAAAAGCATAATAAATTAATTATTTAAAATTAAATAATGTATAATGATTTAATAGTTAAAATTTAGATTGGTTGGTGTGGCCCACTGAGCTATGTTGGCTCACACATATTCTGTATTTTATTTGAGATAAAAAAGGAAAAGAGCTGGTTGAGTAGCTAGAGTCATACATTTTGATCTATTCATGTAATCATAGGTAATTTTTAATTTTTGTACAATTATGTCTTTTTCTTATTTACTTTATTATGGTTTGTAGCTATACAATATAGTGAATAATTATTCTATATAAATTTTGAAGATGAATGAAATGAAAAAAAAAAAAGGATGAGTATATTTTATGCTTACTAGAAGTTAATTAGAAGTTTTATGTTCTATTTTAAATTGAATAAATTTGAAATGTCTCCAAAACTTAGATCTTGGGTTGGACTCCACCATTCAACTTGATTTGAGTTATCTTGTTTGTGAGTTATTTAGGTTGGGCTGTGACAACCCCTCTTTGGTATCAAAGTACTGGCTTTGGGAGATTGATTGTAAAACAAAAGGTGTAAGAAATGATATGCAGTCAAATGAGATAGTCTTAGTTAGTATTGGGTATTCATTTTTGCTTGTTTTCATGTGCATGTTCTATTTAGCTCTATATTTTGATTTATTGTCTAATGAATCTATAAGACCCAGATATGATAGATGAGCAAAGTGCTAGTTAGGTAGCACCATTACAGAGTACTACTTTAATTGTCAGCTTTGATTCTATTTCTAAATTTGCTAGTTTATGGTACAATTGATGGGTGAGGCTAAGAGCATGAAATATTCTATTAGATCTGGTGAAGTAGACAAGCATTTGTAGATGGTTTTTAGGTTGAAACCTTTAAGATTTGAGGGTACTATTGAACCCACAACAGTAAAGGACTAGTTGATGAGACTAGAATACTTTTGATGGGATGAAGTATACTCCTAAGAGGAAGGTACCATTGGTTATGTTTCGGTAAGGTAATGAGGTTGAGCATTGGAGGTTAGGCTAGCAAAAGAAGAAGTCATGAAAGGTTGAATTCCCCAATTAATTAGGAGGAATTTACAGCTATTTTTAAATCATGGATCCCCATCTTATTGATAGGTTATAAATGAGACATTTTTTAGGTTGTTTTAGGGGAGCATAATAGTTATACAATATCAAGAAAAGTCATTGCCTTAGCCACATATGCTTTCTAATTGATTGTCACTTACGAGGAGAAGTGTTACAAGTTTCTGAGAGGGTTTTGAGATAGTCTGAGGCAGCCACTAATTCTATTTCATATTACTATTTTATTTGAGTTGGAAGAGATGACCAATTTAATTGAGAATGATCTGTTAGCCACTCAACAATGATAAGTTGCTTTCCTCAATTATTGGTTAGAACTCAACTTGAATGATGGAGTTACCCTCCTCAATTATTCTAAAATGGTGATGTCCATTTTTGTTGTCCGAAAAGTTCCTATCATCTCAAGTTTGCAAACAATTTGGTTGCTACAAAAGAAGATGTTATTTTGGCATCTAAAATCTCCTTAGTCTCCTTTAAACAGATACTAGAACATGGGAAGAGGCTGATATCTGCTCTAATGTTGTTGCTAAGGGTTTCATCTTTCGTATTTATGCAAAGGTTGATTGGTGAAAACAAATTTGGCTTAGAGGGTGCTCAATTAAGCATGAACTATACCGTGGGATGACTATTCATAAAGGGTTAAAAATTGCCGATAAACTTATGGAATAAGGATTGATTATAAATTCTATTTAAAAGTTTTGCTATGGAGAAATTGAAAGCCATGACATATTTTTAGCCTTTAGCCTAATCATATTCAGTTTCTTCATAAAGCTAATGAATTTTTCATGATTTTATTGAAAAACTCTTTTACTTAATCACAACTATTGTGGTTTATAGGCTTTTGGACAAGAAAAATACCTACTTAAAGGTTTGGTGGTGAAATTAAGATACTTATTGCATTTAAACTTGGGACGTGGACGTTCAAGGCTCGCTCCTGGCCTCTTTAAGGCTATGAATTTATTCCTCTATTCGCACATGACCCCTCTTGATTTCAATGGAATAGATCTTTGGCCTTCTTTACTTCAAAAAATAATAACATTATAATTTTTAACAACATAAATAGAATAATAATATATCGGAGGTTAGGTAGAGCGGTAAAAATCTTTGAAATTAAAGAAATGCGAAAGTTAGTAAAAGCATAAATTAAAAAAAGTTGAACAAAATATGAAGGCATGATAAAGAGCTGCTCTGCCTTTCTTTGCTTTTTGGCGTGCCATATTAATTATTACCATAAAACTTTACCCTTTTGCATTTGCCAAAAAAGTAGATAATAATATTAAAAAATAAAATTTATTTTCTTTTCTTTATAATAGAAAACCCTTTGGGCCATCCAAACACAAAAAACTTCACAATGCGGAATCCATCCAAAGATTCTACGAGGATACATAATAAATAAAATTATTTGTTGTATATTTACTATATACCATCATAGAATCTGAATCTGGATGGTTCTCCTGTCCAAACTCGCATGTAATAATCACTGACCCCTGCATTGGCTGGCTGTGATGTCTCCATTCATACTTTCATGGTAGAAGAATAATCAAATTAAAACATAGCAACTTCAATATTTTGGTTCATAATAACAACAATAAATATTGAAGTTTTTTTTTATTAATATATTTTGGGCATTAATGAGAAGAATTCTGCAGAACCCACTCAACCAAGGTGGAGACCCCAAAGCCTGTAGATGTGCGTTTCTTCTCATTCCAAACAGGGCCAGCCATGTCAATATGCAACCACTGCACTTTCTCATCCACAAACTGCAAACATTAACTAACTTATCTTAAGCTTAGTTTCATGAAATATTAGCTTAAATATGCATACAAAATAAGCAAAAACTGGAATAATCAAGGCTTTGAATACTAAGCCAAATGTGCACCTTTACCTCTCATGTTCAACTTAACTATCAATGACTTTTTATTAGCCCAAACATCAGATGATACTAATTATAAGTTTATAAAATTAATATTTAAAATCTCTACAATATTTATTCGCTACATAGTACTCCTGAAATATTTAATGATGATCATAATATTGACTGTATAGGTTCTATCATTTTGATTGAACCTAGCTCTTACTCTATCTTACTGCCTTCACAATATTTACTTGACACAACAGCTACCTTATTTAGGTACGGCACCCAAGCCATTATTTTTTAATGTAATCTCTCTTAACATATTTCTAATTTTCCCTCTATAAGCTAGAGGTCATCAACCCCAAACCAAAACACACACCCAAGTTCTTGTCATCTCCTATCCCTGGAATCACGAGATGTTGTCGAAGAAGATTCCATTGTTAAAATCACTAGAGACAGAGGGATTGACATGACAACAAGAGCACGAAAGAGAAATAGGAAGAAGCACAATAGGCGGACGATGGGCTTAAGGGACCGAGATGAGCAAGTTCCAGCATGTGTGCATGAAAGAAGGGGGATATAGCTAGTGACTAAGAAGAGAAAGATAGGATTCCAACATGTGTGATTATAAATTTAACTATGATTCTTAGAAAATTCTAAGTTTATTTTTCTTAAACAAAAGAATTCGTTATTAGGATTTTAATGGTGAGGAGAAGAGTGCGAGGAAGTTGATAATTTTATAATATTTGATACATCACAAAAAAAAAATCTCATTTATCAAGCACAAATTTTGAAACATATTTAAATTGAAAACTTTCAATATTAAATTTGAGACCATTTGAAATCAGGCATTAGCAAATTTATAATCAAACTGAATGTCTTGACAGAATGAACTCAATGACACCAAAATCAGTCCAATCCAAGTTTAAATAGGCTCAAACCAAGGGACCAAAATATTTTTGCAAGCTTCAAAACATTTATTAAATAACCAAATAATTTCTAAATATGGCATGCTTATAGTCTATCGAGTGGCTCAATGAGACAAATCCAACAAGCCTAGGATCACTTAATTCTGACATCATTAAGACGCTTAAATACTTGATGAAAACTAAATGATCGAAAGGGATCTAATATGGACTGTTTAATGGAGAATTCTTAATTTCTTCTAGATTTTCTACAAATTTACGATCCAAAAAATTTATAAATAGATCATCATTCTTCACATAAGGGAGGGAGGAAAGGAGAGAACAATGGAGAACTATAGTATTTTTAGCTATCACCGCCTCCAATAATCACCAGCTAGTGCCACCGACAATCACCATCATCATTGAGGATCAGCATCAGAAATATCTACCATCTCCAAAGTTTTGACTCTATTTAACTCTGATGTTGAATGTAAAAGTCCATATGTGGACATCTATAATCCCTATTGGAAAAATCAAACCCAAATATTGACTATTAATTGTCGTACTTGATTTTTTGTACTCTCATTCTTCTTCAGTAGTGAAGAAGGTAAGATCTTCGTATCCCATATTATCTAGTTGTTTTTGTAATTAGGTTAGGCCTTGCGATTTTTTCCCTTTCTGAATTTTTCACGTTAAAATTTCTTTGGTCCTACAACTTTTATCTGTTCATGCTGAATTTTTATATACTGCTAGGACAAGAAACACACACTCTACTGACTCAAATTTTCTATCACATAACAGTTTGGCGTAATCTGTGGCCATGTTGGAGCAAGGATTTTTTATTTGCCGGGGCACAAATTTCTGATTTTAAAAATACTCTCAAGCTTTTTCAAATGAGCTTTAAATTGACATTAAGATTTTATTTTATTTTTTATTATAGTTGTTATAAGATGATAAATTTTATAAAATTAAAAAAATTTAATGTCAAGCTCATCTAAATTAATTTCAACATTATTTGGACTATATATTATCATGCTCAACTATTTCTTACACTATATTTTCATATCTAATTTAAATAAAATTCTAATTAAAAAATATTTTATAACGAGCAATAAATATATAAAAAAGCTACCACTTATTAAATATATCAAAAATTATAATAAGCATATTTTGAGCTACTTGATTTAAATTTAAAAATTGTAATTCTCCTATAGTGTAATTTATTGGCTTTAATTACATAAATTTCTTATAAGAGAGATTTGGAGTTTTTAAAATAATTAAAAAAATTTATGAAATTTTTAATTTAAAACGACTAGTGATGTGAAGAAAAAATATACAAATGGGGGAAAAGATATAAATAAGGAGAGAGAGATAAGGTGAAAATAAAAGAAAGGTTTAAGATGATCTTCCCTCATCGATGGAGAGAGAAAGAAATAATGTAACATGATGACTCGGTTAGGAAAGTAGAGATATTAAATTTGACTTATGTTAAGAAAGGTAGAGGTAGACCTAAAAAGGCTTAGTTAGAAAATATTGGAAATGATATTTCTTTATTAGATTTAAACTAGAATTTGTCTTTTGACATAACACAATGGAGAAAAATGATTCATGTAGCCGACCCCATGTAGTGAGACAAATGCTTGAGGTTGTTGTTGTTGCTATTAGTAAAAAAAAAGTTTCAGATGGTATAGTAAAAGTCAATAAAAAGAATTAATAGTGAAACATTGAAAGAGATAAAGACA